GACACAAAACTGTGGGGAGAGGGACACGCCGGAGGGCAGGGAACTGCTGCAAGCAGACCTGGACAGGTTGGACAAGTGGGCAGAAAACAACAGAATGCAGTTCAACAAGGAGAAATGCAAAGTACTGCACCTAGGGAGGAAAAATTTCCGGCACACCTACAGCCTAGGGAATGACCTGCTGGGTGGCACGGAAGTGGAAAGGGATCTTGGAGTCCTAGTGGACTCCAAGATGAACATGAGTCGGCAGTGTGACGAAGCCATCAGAAAAGCCAATGGCACTTTATCCTGCATCAGCAGATGCATGACGAATAGGTCCAAGGAGGTGATACTTCCCCTCTATCGGGCGCTGGTCAGACCGCAGTTGGAGTACTGCGTGCAATTCTGGGTGCCACAATTCAAGAGGGATGCGGATAACCTGGAGAGGGTCCAGAGAAGGGCCACTCGTATGGTTAAGGGCCTACAGACCAAGCCTTACGAGGAGAGACTAGAGAAACTGGACCTTTTCAGCCTCCGCAAGAGAAGGTTGAGAGGCGACCTTGTGGCTGCCTATAAGTTCATCATGGGGGCACAGAAGGGAATTGGTGAGTATTTATTCACCAAGGCGCCCCCAGGGGTTACAAGAAATAATGGCCACAAGCTAGCAGAGAGCAGATTTAGGTTGGACATTAGGAAGAACTTCTTCACAGTTCGAGTGGCCAAGGTCTGGAACGGGCTCCCAAGGGAGGTGGTGCTCTCCCCTACCCTGGGGGTCTTCAAGAGGAGGTTAGATCTAGTTGAAGCCTGTCCCTCTCTTCTAAAATGCTCACTTCTCCCCACATCTTAGTGTCATCTGCGGATTTGAACAAGGTGCTTTTCACGCCCTCATCCAAGTCACCGATGAAGATATTGAACAGTGTGGGCCCGAGAACGGAGCCCTCCAGATTGGTGCACCCACAGCAGGCACAAGGGGGCTGGGGCCAGGAAGCAGCATGTCAGGAGTGAGAGGCACCAACAGGGCAGGGGAGTGAGGGGTTGTGGGTTGGGAGTGAAGAGCACTGGCAGCCCCAAGGGGGCTGTTTTCTCCTTAACTATTTCCTGGGACAGGCCTGGCCATCATTGTTTACAAATGGGTCTGGGTACAAAAAAAGGTTGAGAACCACTGAGTTAGAGCTGCTATTAAAGTGTGTTGTTCTTCTTATTCACATATGCCTGTGTTTACTGAACTGGGTGATGACTACAGAAGTGAAGCTAACCAGTCTCTAGCTGGGTCACTTGCTGCTCTCTAAACTGCTGAGTCCTCACCTGTGTCCTTCCCCCAGCTGTTCCAGAACAATCGAGTTCTTAAAAGCAGTTACTGACTTCAATCTGTTCTTCTTAAATTCTGGGGACCCTCCTTCTATTAGTCATATGTTGCCACTTCTCCTTTTTTCCCTTTGGCCTCTTCAGTGCCAGCTTCTCAGGACTCGTATCCAAGAAGTCTTTATATTCCCTGATAGTGCACAGTGTGGATACCTGTGCTTCCAGCCCCTTGATTTGTTCCTTCAAGACAGACACTAGCTTATAATTGGTGCAGATGAAATGTTTTGATCCTTTGGGAGAACACATACAAGGCATATCCCCCATCCAAGTAACAACTGATCCAGTCTCCACTTGTGCCTTCTATGCTCCCTGGGCAACACCTAGGCTATAGGAAGCAAAAAAAATAAAGCGGGAGCGGGGAAAACCAACCCACACCCATGTGTGTGGCATGCACACATTCATTCACACATGCACAAGCACCCAAGAGTATCCTGCTCCCTCCTGTGATGACTCCCTCTCTGCTTGTTTCTCTGTTCACAAGGGGCTGCCTTTAATAAGCCTGGGCATGTCTGGGCCCACCCTTCAATTAGCCAAAGCAGCCTCTATTGAGAGAAACTACACACAGAGCTTTGAGCCCAAATCCTGCCAAGCAATCACTTTGACACGGGCACAATTCAAACATACAGGTACAACAACAAATCAGCACCCCTGAATTTCTGGTCTTTAGACCATCAGCTCTCAGAAAAAACCTCCACACAGGGAGACAATCTAGCTTCAGTTGTCCAGCAGCCACAAAAAAAGCAGGGTGGGGGAAGGGGGAGATGGTTTGGGGGGGAAGCTATCCAAGCTGTCATTGGGCTAAAAGCCTATGGAAGCAGTTAGTTGCAATTGAAGTTCATCAGTTGAGAAGAAATCATAGAGTTGAGAAGCAACAACATCAAGGAGCCAATATACAGGGACAGAGGATGTAAGGTGCTGGGGCCTAGGAGATCTGATCTAATAGTCAGGCCACTGGGGGAAGGCAGGGGCCAGGGTTGGTTCAGAGTTCAGAAGTCACATTACCAAATCCAGAAGAGAATCCAGGGGCAGACTCCACAACACAAGACCAAGGTCAAGGTCCAGGAATCGGATGCTGAGTTACCAAATCCGAGATACAATCCACAGGGCCAAGTCCAGAATTGGAGCCAAACCAGGGTCAGGAGCCAGAAAACAAATCCAAGGGAAATCCAAAGCCAAAATCCAGGAACAAGTCAAGACCAGGGGTGCTTATACACATGCAGCAAGGCTGCTCTGACGCACTGCAATCACAGCATGTTGGAGCAGACTCAATTGAGTCTGCTGGAGTGCAGTAATTACCATGCTCCAGAAGACTCCAGCATCACGTGTATCAGCACCCCCATGCTGAAAAATGGCGGCAGGAGGCACTTTAACTAACATTTGTTTAAGATTTACTTAAAGCGCCCCCACTGCCATTTTTCAGCGCAGAAAATGCTGATACACGTGACACTCTGGGCGCTCCAATTTAAATGTCCCCCTGTCCACTCCCAGACCATGTGTGTATAAATGCCCCAGGAGGCTTACCAAAGGAAACTGGGTCAGAACTGTTGGCTAGCCTGGAGGCAGTTGCCACAGGTGGGACCTGTGGCAACTGGGGTCGCCCCCAGTAGCTAGTCAGGAAGCCAGCCAGTTAACTAGCTGGGACAGAAAGCAGTGAGCTGGAAGGAGGTTCCATTCCAGCAGGCTGTTTATGAACAAAGCACCCCTCACATTGGCAACAAGCACTGAGTATATACTTTCTAACAGGTGAGCTCCACTGCTCTAATGGGATAATACTGTGATCAAAGTAGCCACTAATATCATTACTGGGGAAATACTACATGGCACATAATACAGAGTCATGGAGAACACAGATGCCACATGTGTGAAGAGAAGCATGGATTTCTTAGGGTGATATCTTTTACTGGACCAAGCATGTAGTTGGGATCAAACTGGACAAGCTTCCGAATGCAAGGCACAATCAGTGGCGACGCGTAGGGGGTGCATGTGCACCCCCTGAGAGCAGCGTTCCCAGGCAGGGGGGCAGACGAGAGCGCTGGTGCCCCCCCCGAGTGCGCCAGGAGAAGCGCTCCCCCCGCAGCCAATCCTGCTGACCCAGAAGTGCCAGTGGCGTGCCATTGCCAGTTGTGGGTCAGCAGGATCAGCCGCAGGGGCCCCCCCAGTCACTGACTGTCTACTGGGGGGGCAAGCGCCCCGCCTGACTCAGGAGGCACCAGTTACCCAGGACTACAATATCACTTTTGTTCCCCTCCTGTATATGGAGAGAATCCATCAACCTGGTGCCCACAGGCAACAAACCACGTGTCAAGACTGGGGAACTGCTTTGCCTTAATTGAGCCAGCTGGCCAAGCACTTGTACTGCAGGCCTGCCCATTTGCTAAGCGCCCTGGCTTTCCCCGACACTGGGGTGTCCGCTGACCACTAGCCCAATTCCACTGCGCAGGACAAAAGCCAGGCTGAACACACTTCTGTGCAGTGGGAATAGACTAGTGCGCAGGTAGCGGCACTAGAGAGCCCCAGTGCACCGTAGTGACTGCGCAGGGATTTAGCACCCGTTTGGGCTACACACGGGTTGCGCGATGTAATGCGCGCTAAGCACGAAGCCAGAAGACGCCCTCGGCCGACTCCTGCTCCCCGGCGCGCGGGTGGGTGCCGAGCGCCTCTGCTCACCCGCGAAGTTGCCTCAGCGCAGCCCAAGCCGGTGCGGGGCTTTCCCGGCTCCACCCGCCTCCTTCAGCGAGCCCAGGAGTGGAGA